CAGAGGGGCAGAATAAGGCCCCTTTGCAGCCCAACAACACAACCCATGTCCCCTTGAACCAAACAGAGAAGGTAGACCGATGTCTCAGACTTATGCTGTCCCTGCCCCTTATAGGATAGGAATCAGTTCCTCTGGTGGTCCCTGAGCCCACAGCCACAGCTGACTCTCCCCTCTGAGCCCCCCTATCCTTCACTCATTGCCTGTGCATGATCTGCACTAGATATCTTCCTACCCAGGAAAGGCTGTCCTACACCTCAAAAGGCAATGCTTTGGGGACCTATGGGAATGCCCTATTAACCTTTTAAAGTGCATGCAGTAATATGCCTCCAGTTAAATGGAGAAACCTAGCATACAGAATGCTGAAAGTTGTAGGGGGATTAAGGGATGGAAACAGTTGTCTGGACAGGCCCTGCAAAAATACTCTTCCCTTCAGCATCCACCATCTGCCATTGAGAGAAAAAGATCCATCTAGCCCAGCATCCTGTCATCTGACCTAGATCAGGAGTCCATATGTTCTTATGAACATAACCAGGATCTCCATTTAAGACCCTCCTCTTCTCCCCAGTGTTTGATGGCATGTTTTTACCAATGCTCTGCCTTTGACTACAAGTTTATTCAGGGATGAGGAACCAGAGAAGTATCTGAGTGATCACTATGTCTGTCTTACATTCCACCAGTTCAGACCACAGTCAGAGATACTGTAAGCCCTGGGGGGTAAATGTCACCTTCCTCTCTGCCAAGGAAGGAAGAAAAAGTGGGCTCTCAAGATTCCCATATTAGTCATAAAAAGATACTGGGTGCATCTACATGAGACACTTACTGTGGAGTTGCCCAATTAGCTCCACAGGAAAGCATCACTGTCTACACAAGCAGTGTTATTAGACCAGGGTAAACCAATTAACTCTGCCACAGGATAGTACTGCTCAACACAAGCAATATTCTACTATTTACTTTGCCACAACGCACATATACATGGTGACCAGGGTTGGCTGGGGCATGAGGATGCTACAGTGTGAGGCTGCCTGCCGTCTATCCCCACACTGTAGCACCCAAGCACCAGCTAGCCCCACCACAGCACACTGAGCCAGGACAGAGCAACTCCGAGCTGCCAGGCTGACCCCCTCCAGCGACCCTGCCAGCCAGGGCTCCACTACCCTACCTCAATGTGCTGCAATCCCAGGCATACATGTAAAAGCTGTGCCCAGGAGCAATAAACTCCAACTAAGTTTGCACTGCAGTTTGTTCAGGTGCACTAATTGCATGTGCAGATGCACCCACTGCAGCTCTATGCACTTAGGCAGTTGTTAGCATGAAACAGGCAACAGGCCACAAGCCACCCCCACCCACCCCCAATACCTCGTTACTCCTCTGGAAAGAACCAAGATACCTACAATGCCGGTAACAAGCAAGAGGGAGTGAATCGTCTCTGCTGCCCTTGCCATGTTACCACCCATTTCATCACATAGGTTAATAATGACTTCTGGAGTAGTTTGCATGAAAGATAATCTGTAGTGATGCAAACTCAGTGTCTGCCCCCCCTGGGCTCCTAAACCTTGCACACAGCAATGGTGTAACTTGTTCCTATTGTACCTGCTAACTTAGTCCTGCCACCAACATTACTAGGCCAGAAACATCTTGCTGACATTATGAAGATCTCAGAATACTTATGAAAATGTTGAGTTGTTAGACCCACCACTATGCCCTAAACTCTTCCCCTTACCCCAGCCAGCACCAAAAGCAATATAGAAAATTCATCATGATTAATCCCTGCTCAGAAATTCTCCAAAAAGAGTCAGGCTCAGCTGGAATGTAAAAAAGTCATCTGAACCAGGCTTCTGAGGTTTCATCATTACTCACTACGAACAGTGGAACAAGAGGCCCATACAGCACCAAGTAAAGTAAACAGGGTGTTTGATGTACTTCACAATGACAAAAAAAACTGTGTAGATGGTACGAGACAATGGACCAGCTTCACTTAGAACAACAGCTCCTATCTGTGTACCTTAATATATAGAAGACTGCAAACGTCCAAAGATAAAGGAAAGCAATTGTTAGATTTGAAGGTGATGGAGTGCAAAAAACTAAGATTATTTAGTCGTGAAAGGAGGATTAGAGGGGATCCAACTCAGTCCCTTCTTTCAACTCTGTCTCAAAATTCAATTTCAGCAAGTCCCTCACACCTAATAGAATGTCAGCCCTTGAGTCTGCTGTTCTGCTGCAGTGGTTTCCAAGGGCTGTGGGTGGATTTTTTTTCCAAAGGCAGGATATTATCAATGCTAAAACTATTACACCTGGGTTTGAATAAGTTCTGAAAGATAATGCTCTCATGCTATTAGAGAGATGTAGTAGAGTCTGGAAGCACACACAATCACACACACTTTACTCGGGAACAAAACTGCAGTGAAGGAAAGACATTTGATTTTCCAGGTATAAACTAAATTTCAAGAGTCAGGATGAGATGGGTCAATAATCCAAGTTGGTTCAAGGTCTGGTTCAGATAGTCAGTAGGAGTTTTATTACTGTCTTCCCACAGCCAGAAATTTCTCTCTTCCTTGAATCTCTCAAAACAGACAATTATTGACCAAGCAACTATTTCTATCCGTGATCCTGAAATAAACATAAAGGAATTACTCCAAACTACTGTGCCATTTTCACAAAGTCCAGACCTACAAAGGTTCTCTCTGGCACAATCAGCATTATCATCATTTACCAGAAAATAGCCTTCCTGTGAAGTGTAGGCATTCTGATGGTTTTTTCCTACCTGGAAATAGCAAAGAATGTTCCGATGCCTGCAAAAAAAAGCCCATCATCACTCAACAAGGGAAGAAAATTATGGAGACTTTTAAAAGAAGTGATGAGGTGAGAGGTATTAAAAAGTTTAACTTCCCTATTACCCTGCAAAGGACTTTTAATTATATTCAATAAAAATATGATGAGGTTTAAAAATAAAAAGATATCTGAAATAAAATAATAGTGTTCCACTAATTTTACTTTGCAAAATTAATGTTGCTGCACTTTCTATTTTTCTTCAGAGAAATGTCAGGCAGAAATATCAAACTGTCCTCAGGGAAAAATCAGAGCATCTGAGACTTAAAAAGAATCCAGTGTTCAAATGAGTTAGTGCGCTGGTATTCATTTGGGAGCAGTGGATTATGAGGAACAATGTAATATACAGGGTTTTTTTCCTGAGTGTTAGACTATACCCCTATACATCAACAATGGCACCAGTGTCCAGAATAGCTCCAACATTTGACAATTTGTAACCAAGCTTCTGAGCAATTTTATTTTTCATGACAGCCTTAACTAGACACGAAGCAGGATAAGAGCGAGTTATAAGCATGAAGAACTTGGAAAATTACTAAAAAGTACAGCAAAGAAATTGTAGGCTGGCACAAGTTATTAGAAGGCAAAATGGTCCGGGAGATGATGATGACAAGACAAAACATTCCTGCCTGCATGGATGACTTACTATGTGACCTTGAATGTAACACGTACATTGCACCCCAGCCTCCCCGTGTTTGACCAGTGTTGGAAAGCAGACTGCTATCCATGGTTTAGAAAAAAAAGTTATAAAAGTGTTTTTAGAATTTGTAAGGACAATGTTTTTATATGCTAGAATGCACCTCCATATTTTGGAGATTCTTTTTCATCCTGAAAGACCACATGTTCTTTTTTGCTTTTAACATGAAACATTAAAAAAAAAAATCCATCAGTAGCCCACAAATAAAAGATACAATTAGGTAAGGAACCCAAGGTAAATTCCTGCCAAGATCTAGGGATAGGTGTGCTTACTGTTTAATTGAGAAGCAATTACTATTCATTATGAAAATGCTGTGAACATGCTTGGGGCTGTATGCACAGAGACTTGCCCCCAAGAGCTTGGTCACCCAACACATTCTGTTTTCTTAGAAGGGAAGGAGGTGTGCGAGTGTGTAAAGGAGTGTTAAAAACTATAATGGAGAGAGCAACCGACTGTTTCTTTTATCTACCAATCCCCACTATATATAGTTCCCCTTCCTCTTTCCGAGTTCCAATTCTGCTAAAACTTGTTTTATTTTCACTCTTCTTCTTTCCCTGCTCCAACTGATCCAACCTGTAGAGTAAAAGAAGCACAAAGTCTTGATGTTTAGAATTCTAACACTAGGCCCAGACACAGAAGCCTTCATCTATGAACCACAGCAAGAGCCTAGCCTGGGATTTTGCTTATCTCAGTTTTATCCTACTGCTGCAGAAGTATTTGATGCAGAAACAGAGGATCATACAAGTGCTATGCAGCAAGTGCCCCACACAGATTTCAAAGATGTAGGCAGTACAGAAAAGTGTGGGTTTCCTAATATGCCTCTTTCATTTTAAAATGTGTGGTTCATACCACTGATTTTATTTTTCAAGCCTACCCAATATTGGACGGAAAGAAATAGCCCTTTCTAGAGTTTAAAGCTTGCAACATCCTATCCCCACCACCTTTCAGAGAATTACAAAAAAAGAAAAAGACCCCTACACAAGCAACTGAAATTGAACCCTTTATTGTTGTAAGTGGGCAAACTACAAATTAATGCATCCATACTTACTTTTATCAACACCTCTGAACTGCCTCTAAATTGCATTTCCACTTTAAAACTTGCTCAGTTGCTGGCATGAAACTGGTGCCAACCTGGCAAAGCTGGCAATTGCAAAAAAGCAAAGGACAAACCTAAAGTACATTTTTGCACATATAACGAGACATGATATAGCAACTGAAGCCTTGAGCCTTCATGTGGATGAACTCCTGAAATTTGCAGAATTAGGATTTTAGTTTTCATTACTTACTTTTTTGTTCTCCATTTTTGTCAAGGAAGAAGGGAAAGCTACCAAGTCTCCTGCTTGCTCACCCCTCCTCCTTCAACATAATACTTATGTTAAAATAAACACGCAGTTCCAGAACGTGGTTCTACAAGGTTTGGCATTAAACAGAAGACTGGCTCTCAAAACATAATGCATTTTCAGGTGAAGCTTATTCTCACCTGGCAAGTTCCTTAATTAAGTTTGCAATTCGTCTCTTGTCCTCAGGACATAAATCCTTTAAAGAAGCGCTCTTCATTCCTCCCTCATTAGTGACCTGAAAATTAAAATCTGCATTTAAAAACCAGTCATTTATATGAAATAAGTACTTCAGGAGATATTAGAGACCTTTCAAAGATATAGCAATTAGAAATGAGAGCTAGACATATTGAGACTGGAACAAGGGGGATATTTTTAACACAGTCAGGGTAGTTAAACAATTTGGTCCAATTTACCAAGTTTTGTGGTCAGCTCTTCTAAGGAAAGCTATAGTTCAGTCATAGGTTATTGGGCTCCATGCAGTTCCCTAGTGAAATTCAGAGGCCTACAACATGGTGGAGGTCATAACAGATGATTATAATGGGTCCTTGAGATCTGGAAGTCTAGGACTTATTACTTTCACTGTAATTATACCCAAATGGACCACTCAAGTTGAGCAACTGTGTGTGCTAGAAACCTTAAAAAAATATTAAAATAGGCAATCCTTGTTTTAAAGAGCTTGTATACAAGACACACTGAACTACAAGAATGAAACCTAGAGCAATCAGGATGAAGTTAGGATACTTCCTGTTAAATGTTATCATCATCTTATCCATACATAACAAGCCAAGCTGCCTCTCCACTTCGCTACTGCTCATTCTTTTCCATTACATTTAAAACATGCATTTTATTCAACTCCCATCTAGCCGCAGGCTCTAATCTCCATAAACAAGCTTATGGTGAATATGTAATCCTGGATTTTTCTCTTCTTTTGATCAGGTCCACTCCAGTATTTTATTCAAGTGAAGTGGATGTATTTCTTATCAACGTCCACCAGAGGGTACTCCACAGCACAGCATTTAAAAGCCACTTGTTATATTGTTGCTTTTGCTATCATTAGATAGGACTATTTCCATGAAATCCAGATCTGGCCTGTACAACCAGTGATCTGTACAACCAGCAATCAAGCTAATGCCAGACTCAGGCATTCAGATGCTACAGTGCCAAAAGTAAGATAAGAACAGATACGGAAGAGAAGAGATGGAAGCGACAGTTATTTGATCCAAGACTCTAGTAAGATTAAACAGAAATCAAAGTTAAGTGGAAGCAATAGTAATTGTTTATTTTTGGCTAATCAGATCTTATAACCGCTTATGAATGACATTTGTAATAATGTATGTTTCTAGACATATTCAGTCCTTACAACAAGATGTAGTCTAATAGATAGAATAAAAAGTAGCTGCTAAAGGTACAACTTTAACAATAATGGGACTACCCCGTTCCCCAACACCAATTTCCCCCCCAACTCTTTATTAGCACTAATGGGAGTTGCACGTGTACATCAAGGGAAAAATGTGTCCTTCCATTTTTAGCAGGTGTTAAGCCAGTGTCCCAAAGCTAATAATTTTAAAGCAGCTTTTCAAATGGAGACTTTGGAGGTGATCTTACGTAGTGCGGTGTTATTCCATACCCCAAAGCCCCTCAAGTTAAAGCTCTTTGATTTTTATTTGAATATATTTTCTCTGGAAACACCTGGTTGCACACTGCAGGTTCATTGTTAAACTTTTTCCATAATTTTTCAAATCAAGGTATGATTTCACAGTTTCCTCTCTCTCTCTCACACACGCACCCCCACCCCAGCTACATGAGAGAGAGGCAGGGAATTCACACTAGAATTTGACTTATATTTAAGATTGGATGGAAGGGTTTCAGTAGTATGTACCTCAAATCCTAAAACGCTTCAGGTGTCTTGGTTAAAAATGTCTGCAAAAGAAGGCTGTACCCTAGATGTCTGCTGTAAATTCTTTACAAAAGCAGCAGCTGGTGCTTATGTCATCTCTTCCGTTCAGAAACAAAAAAAGAGGCACAACTGGAAGACAAGAGTGCCTTTGGCCCAGAAGAATTTTATACAGGGTAGATTACAGACC